GCTGCCGGCTCCAGGCGGGCCTCTCCGCTGCTCTGGCGTCTCCTTCCCTCGGGAAAAGCTGCTGTGCGCTGAGATTCTGTGAGTCTGTGCCCTCAGAGAGCCCCTGCTACTTGGAATTATCATTGTTCCTCCATATCTTAACGTGTGCGTGATCCGAAGAGGTGGTGTAGGGGAGCTGGAGGAGAGGGGATGGTGCCTCCTTGGAGGGAGATGGCGGGTGGGAGCCATGCAACATCCCGGAGGGCCCAAACCCTGCCTCCTGCCAGTCAGGGCTGGAGGTGACAGAGCTGCTTGCCCAGCTGCTGGGAAATCCTGTCCCCATGGGGACTGGTGGTGTTCTCTCTCACGTGAGCCCGCCACGTAAGGAGTTGTGGAGTCGGACAGATGGAATTTGAGGAGCCTGCAGTTTGCAGGTTGGGTTTTTTTTTGGGGAGGGAATATCTAACGGGCCTCTAATAAAATGCTGCTGGGGCTTGTTCTTTGCAGCCCTGTTGGGTGACAAAGTGATGCTGCTTGGTGGCTGGCGGTTTGAGAGCTCCTCATTTGGGCTTCTTGCTTGTCCTCACATATCCGTGAGAAGCTCCAGTGAAGGAAAAACATCCTGCCCAGGCAAAATGAACGAGGATCAAACAAGCAAATAGCAAAGCCTGCACGTACTGTGTGCTGTGAAAATCCCAGTACTCGTGATTCCCTTGCGGGGGGTGGTTTCAGTCCACCGTACACCTCAGCATCGTGTTATTCTTTGGGTCTGCTCCATCTTTCATAACCACTGGCTTGTGTTGGTGTTTGCTCCTTCATGCTGGTAAATAAAATGCAGCGTTTAGGGATGGCAAGAGGGATGGTCAGTCCGCCTGAACTACGTGACAAGGTGTTTATTTTTTTTTAAATAAGGCAAATCATCCTTTTTCTCCCACTCCATGGCTGGGAGTGCCTGCCTTGAAACAGGGGTCTTGTGGAGATGTGTTGAAAGGGGAGGAACTATAGCTGCGAGGTCTGTTTTGCAGATGGTTTTTAGTATTGACCTGTGCGCAGAGCCTACCGTGCTGCTCCTATAAACCCTGCTTTCACAGCATGCCGAGGCCTGTGTTTTTACACAGAGGACGCATTTATCTTGCTGAAGGTTGGGTGAAAATGCGCGGGGCTGTTCTTTACTCCCTCATTGCTTCCCTGAAAGCAAAACACACCTGAAAGGAGACGATACTGTCGGTTAGGGCTGGGAAGCTGAGCCCAGACTTGCCCCGTGTAAGCGTAGATGCTCAGCGAAGGCGTTGAAGCCAGAAACTGCGTTGTCGAAGCTCCGCTGACTCTTTTGGGAAGACAGTTTTTAGGTGGGCTGAGTTGCTTTCTGGAGGCGTCGCGGTTCCGGTCATTTCAGATGGAGCCAGGAAGGACAGTGCTCCTGGCACTAAATAGTTAAGACCTCACTGGGATGAATCTGGACCTAATGAAAGCTGCTGGGGTTCGACTTAGGTAAAGTTTCAAGCGAGTACAAAATGTTCCAGAAGCTGGAAGGGAAGCCAGTTACAAACAGCCCCTGAGAGGGGGGTCCACAGCGGGGTGCCCACCAACATGAAGCACCCGATTTAAAATCACGTGCTGAGCCGGGTCATGGAGCAGAATAACCTCCTCATTCCCAGCTCTCTCTTCCAGCTGCCGGCCCATGTTCCCCGCCTGCTTTTCTCCAGCACGGAGACTCGTTTGCTCCTCGTGTGTGGTTTTAATTATTTACTCCTTTATTTCTTCTTTCTAGGCTTCTGGGCCGATCGAACACCAGTTCACGAAGCAGCCAGGCGGGGAGAAATCCTGCAGCTGCAGCAGCTGATAGAGAGCGGAGCCTGCGTCAACGCCGTCACCTACGACTCCATCACCCCGCTGCACGAGGCGAGCCTGCGAGGGCAAACGCAGTGCGTCAAGCTCTTGCTGGCTGCAGGGGCCCAGGTGTGTCGTCGCGTCTGATCCAGCTGGGAGCTTCATCTTGATGTCTGAAGTTGTTTTCTGCGGTCGGGGTTCTCCCCATCTGGCTCTAGGCCCTTCTTGGTCACCCTGGGCTTGCTTGACAGGCAGCAGAGGATGACGGGCCTTTTCGTAGAGTTGTAGAATCATTAAGGTTGGAAACGACCTCTAAGATCACCGAGTCCAACCGTCAACTCAACACCACCGTGCCCACTAAATTGTGTCCTCAAGTGCCACGTCTATGTGTTTTTCAAACACCTCCAGGGATGGTGACTCCACCACTTCCCTGGGCAGCCTGTTCCAATGTTTGACCACTCTTTCAGTACAGAAATTTTTCCTACTATCCAATCTAATTCAGAGAGTGTTTGAGCTTGATGAGGACTTAAAACAACTGCCTGGAAGTGTTTCCATCTCTCTCCTTGCTGACTATCAGCAGCCCAGGGTGACTCTAGTTTAGATGACCCAAGTATCTAAAGCTAGCTGGGTTGCATCAAGGGGCCAGAAGGGGAGCAGGGGCCATGTAGCTTCCAGGTTTATGTTTTTTCTTGTGTTTCTTCTATTTCTTTAATTTGATTATGGAAACAAAAACCAGCTAAACAGAGTCTTGGGTTATAGCTGGTGACGACTGTCTTCAAGGGCTCGTAACTCCTCACGTGCTGCAGACAGCTCTCCTCAGAGCAAAGCCGGCGAAGCGGAGCACGTGTGCGCTCCCCGGTCCTCCGTGGGGCGCAGTCGGCCGGTTTGGCTGAGCCCACGGATGAAGCTGGGCTTTGTGCTGAAGCAGACGTGGAGTTTCCTTGCGTTACTCGGGCCTGAGGCTTGTAACCCTCAGCAGG